TTGATGTAATTTGATGGTTTAGGTGTAATTTGTGGTGTTTTGATGATTCGAGCAAGTTTGAATAAGGTGTTGGATCATGTTTGTGTTTTTGGTTGAGGTCCCGACGGCCTCGGGGTGATTTCGGATGGCTAACAGGAAGTTTTGGCTTGTAAAACTTAAGAATTTGCTGCTGCTTTTGGTATTTCCGCTCCTGCAGAAATGGGACCGCAGAAGCGGTACCGCAGGAGCGGGTGGAGAGTCGCAGAAGCGGGGAGAACCGTAGGTGCGGATTGGGTGACCGCATCTGCGGAGTCGCAGATGCGACAACATGACCGCATATGCGGGGTTTGGAGATTTAATGAGATCCGCAAATGCGGAGCTTAGTCCGCAGAAGCGGAAGCCGCAGGTGCGTGTTTCAGACCACAGAAGCAGAAATATCCGCAGAAGCGGTGCAATCACCGCAGAAGCAGAAGTCGCAGAGGCGGCTAAGGAGCCGCAAATGCGGAAATAACTGGTCAGTGAAGTTTTATTTCATCTTCGCGAAATTTCATAAGGGTTCATAATTTTCACTTCGGACTTGGAGAATTTGGGCGAGTTGGAAGAGAGAAATCAAGGGACTTCATTGAGGTAAGAATTTTTGAGTCCAAAACATGATTTTATGGTACAAATACATGAATTAAGACTGAAAAATTAAGGAATCATAGGTCAAAAATGGTGGTTAGGGCTTGGAACTTAAGAGAGCTAAAATGGGGATTGGAAGGGTCATTTGGACTCCGATTTTAGTGTTCTTCATATGTATAGACTCGTGGCGAGATAAAGAATTCGTTGATGGTAAATTTTCTGATTTTCGAGAAGTGGGCCCGGGGCTCGGGTTTTGCTAATTTCGAGATTTTAGCTATTTTTCGATTATTTTTGATTGGGTATTGTCCCATTAGCATATTGTGATGTATTCGTTGTGGTTTTGATCAGATTCGGTACACGAGGAGGTCAATTCGAAAGGCAAGGGCATAGCGAGCTAGGACTTTTGCCGGCTTGAGGTGAGTAAGATGTAAATGCTGTTCTGAGGGTTTGATACCCCGTGTTTGCACATCGTAGTGCTACATTGAGGTGACTTGCACGCCGGGTAACGAGTGTGGGGTAGAGCACCGTTGGGGATTAAGACTTGGTCCGTCCCGGTAGATGAATATACTGTGTATTTGACTGAAATTCCCTTATTATCATTTTAACCGAACTAATTGCTATGTTTGGGCTTCGTGCCAATTGATTTAAATCCTTCAGGGATTATTATTATTGGTTTCTTATCATTTTTGCATATCATTGAACTCAGTCCTGGTATTTAATACTGTTTTACAAACTCAACCACATTCTCTTAAACTTGAAACTTAACTAATATTTTTTTTAACTGAAGTTTGGGCTGAATATTTCTATATTATGGTTTGCCCGAGAGGCTTAGGTGATTTTTGGACTGAGCATGGGATCGGGATGCACGCCGCAGCGGTATGATATTGATATTGATATGTGGCCGAGGGCCTAGTTGATGCCACGAGATGGCTTATTATTGCGCTTGGGCCGTAAGGGGCCCCTCCTGGAGTCTGCACACCCCCAGTGAGCGCCGTCGACGGTAAATCAATTGAGCGGGCTGCACGCCGCAGCGGGTACTGGAGAGTACCTGTCTATGTGTTGCATTGCATATTATTAATTGTAAATTATTTTCTTATCTGTTGTGATATTTCTATAATTGTTTTCACTGTTTTGCTGGATTCCATGCTGCTGGGTTCAAGTTGCTGTATTTATAGAATTACTGTGTGCCTATTCAGGATCTCTTATTCTCAGTCTTTATTTATGTTTATTACTCACTGAGTTAGAAGTACTCACTTTACTCCCTGCACCTCGTGTGCAGATTCAGGTGCACCCACTGAGGCTGAGTGAGACTTTCTCTGTTGAGCATCGTATCCGGAAACATCAAGGTAGCTGCATGACGTCCGCAGTCCTGATCTTCCCATCTATCCTATTTATTTTATTCCGCATTTCTTTAGAACATTATGTAGTAGGTTGACACTCGTATGTTAGAGGCTCAGACTTGTGACACCGGATTATCGGGCTGTGTAGTAGTATTTATACTTGGGAATTTCCGCATGTTTGCACTTTATTTCAGATATTCAGTATTATGACTTAGTAATTTGCCTGTGTTAAATAAATTCATGAATGGTATAAATGGTCAAGGTTATGTAATTGGTCGGGCTTGCCTAGCAATGTGTTGGGCGCCATCACGACCGGGGTTGGGGTCGTGACAAGTTGGTATCAGAGCCTAGGTTACTGGGTCTCGCTAGTCATGAGCCGGTTTAGTAGAGTCTCGTGGATCGGTACGGAGACGTCTGTACTGATCCTCGGGAGGCTGCAGAACCTTTAGGAAAACTTCACATTCTTGAAACTCTTGTTGTGCGGCTTTGTTGAACTGAAAACTAAACTTCTACTATTCTATTCTCTCACAGATGGTGAGGACACGAGCTATCGGACGTGGCGGACGACCACCAGTGCCACCTACTGAGGCCGCTAGAGGCCGTGGTCATGGTCGTGGCAGAGGCAGAGCAGCCGGGGTAGCACCCGCTGATCCGTTAGTTGCCCCAGCTCAGGATCAGGCTCCAGCTGTGGATACTCCAGCAGCACCTGCTCAGGCACCAGCCGTGCCTATTGTGATTCCAGGCCTTCAGGAGACCTTGGCGCAGATATTAATGGTCTATACTGGCCTGGCTCAGGCAGTTTCAGCCACCACCGCAGTAGCAACTACTTCACAGACCAGGGGAGGCAATCAGGCCCCCGTTGCCCGCGCACCTGCGCAGGGAGTGTAGGGACTACAGACACCAGAGGCACCCCCAGCCCAGCAGGTTGCACCAACTCAGGGCTTCGTGGTTCCAGCTATGCCAGACGATGAGCAGCGTCGTCTTGAGAGGTTTGGTAGACTCCAGCCTCCGACATTCGGTGGTGCTGAGGGCGAGGATGCCCAGGGTTTTCTTGGCAGATGTCAGCGTATGCTCCGTATGTCAGGGAACCTTCAGTCGAGTGGTGTGGCATTTACTACTTTTCAGTTCACGGGGGCTGCTCTTACTTGGTGGGAGGACTTTGAGAGGCGTAGGCCTACCGGTGCAGCACCTCTGACTTGGCAGCAGTTCTCCGCTCTTTTTCTGGAGAAGTATGTACCTCAGTCCCGCAGGGAGGAGCTGGGTAGGCAGTTTGAGTGGTTGACACAGGGAGATATGACAGTGACTCAGTACGAGATGAGGTTTTCCCTGCTGGCTTGTCATGCTACTTGGATGGTTCCATCAGATCGTGAGAGGATCAGGAGATTTGTGGATGGCCTTAACTACCATCTCCGTATTCTGATAACTAGAGAGAGAGTACTGGGTGCTACGTTTGAGGAGGTGGTAGACATTGCTCGTGAGATTGAGTCAGTTCGCCGTAGAGAGCGAGAGGAGAGGGAGGCTAAGAGGCCTCGTGGATCGGGTAGTTACAGTGGTGCTCCTTCGAGGGGTCAATTCCAGCAGGGTAGAAGTCGCTCTTTCAGGCCTGCTCAGTCAGCTCGTCCAGAGTATCGTGGGGGATCTTCAGGCCGTGGTCATCATGGGCCCCAGCAGGGTCAGACTTCATCAGCGCCCTCCCAGCTCAGAGTTCATCTCATGCTTTCAAGAATGTGGCAACTATAGAGGATAATGAAGTTAATATTTGGAATGCTTTCAAGGCCCTGATTGACACAACAATAAAAATAGTGCAAACGTCTGAAACTCATAGTGCTAGAGGGCAACAGAGTAGGTGTGATAGAGATAGAACTTCACAACGATCCAATTTATGCTGATGAACATTGTAACTTAGATTGTGAGGGGGTTAGACAAAGTTTATAAATAAAAAGAACTAAATGAATTTGTAGGGAGAATAAGATAGTGCTACTAGCAATTATAGAAAATAGAGTCAAGAAGGATAATACAACAAAAATACTAAAGAAGACTTTAAATAATTGGCAGTGGGTAGACAACTATGATGATGCACCAGGAGGAAGAATATGGATCGTATGGGATCAAGTGCAAGTGACCGTTTCTGATAGTGGGAGATTTCAACACCATCCTATCCAGTGAGGATAGAATACAGAGGAATCCAGTTCAGGAGAATGAGGTTAGGGACTTCAAGACTTTTATTTTTGTCACTTGTCTTGAAGAACTACACACTTTGGGTAGAAATTTCACATGGACAAATAATCATAATCATAGTAGAAGTGATAGAATCTTGGTTAACCCAGAATGGATGCAAAAATGGACACATATACAAGGGGTTGTTATGAACCCTGGCTTCTCTGATCACTGTCCAATTAGTGTATGTTTTGATGATACTACTAAACAAGGAACTAGACCATTCAAATTCCTCAATTTCCTGCAAATCCCATGAGGATTTTGACATAACAGTGCAGCAATGCTGGAGACATAAGGGAAGAGGACCAGTTATGATGAATGTATGGAGAAAACTAAAAATGCTGAAAGGCCATCTGAAACAGCTGAATAACCAAGAGTTTAGTCGTGTAGCAAATAAGATACAGATGTCAAGGGACAAATTAAGCACCATCCAAAGTTAGATGCATACACCAGACTGTGATTCAGAGGCAATCCAACAAGAAAGATCAGCAAAAATAGAATTGAAGAAATCACTGATGGTTGAAGAGAGTGTGTGGAAGCAAAAATCAAGAGTATAATGGTTGAATCTGGGAGACTCTAACAAATCATATTTTCATGCCTGTATGAAAATTAGATAGGCAAAAAACCACATTAGTAAGCTAACTAGTTGTGCAGGGCATTTACTTCACAGTGCTGATGAATTTGAAAAGGAAATTCTAAGCTTCTACAAAGTCCTGATTAGGACAGCTGCACCTCAGTTGCCAGTTTCTACTAGATGTTATGCTGAATGATTATACCCGTAATCATAGTCAACAACTGATGCTCATCCGGCCAGTCACAAAGGAAGAAATAAAATAAGCGATGATGGATATTGATGATAATAAAGCACCAGAGTGTGATGGATACGATGCTCTATTTTATAAAAAGAAATGGCATATATTGGGAGATGAAGTCACTGAAGCAGTAATTGATTTCTTTCACTCTGCTACAATGTGCAAAGCCATCAACTGCACAACCATCACTTTGATTCCAAAAGTGAATAATCCAGCTAATATCAAGGAGTTCAGACCAATTTCCTACTGTATAGTCCTTTACAAGCTAATCTCTAAAGTACTAACATTTAGATTGCAGGGTATTATGCATGATCTAATTGTCAAACAACCTTTGTACCTGAGAGATTGATTACAGATAACATCTTATGAGCCATGAGCTAGTTAAAGGGTATGGAAGGAGAATATATCACCAAGATGCATGCTGAAAATTAATATGCAAAATGCTTATGATTCTGTTGAATGGGTATACATTGAACAGGTGATGAAGCTTCTGGGATTCCCTGAGTTATTTCTCAAATGGATCATGGCCTGTGTATGCACAGTCTCTTATTCAGTACTTATCAATGGCAAACCTATCGAACCTTTTGAGGCAAAGCGAGGGCCGAGAAATGGTGACCCCCTATCTCCATTTTTGTTTGTGATGGCTATGGAATACTTGAGTAGGTTATTGAAGCCTCATAAGGAAAATAAAAGTTTTAAATTTCATCCTAAGTGTGCAAAGGTCAACCTAGTGCAATTGGGATTTGCTGATGATCTCCTGTTGTTTTGTAGAGGAGACCTGCAGTCTGTGACCATACTCTACAACCAGTTCCGAACATTTTCTGCAGCCTCAGATTTAGTAGCAAATCTAAACAAAAGCAATATTTACTTTGGTGGAGTAAGTAGCCTGATCCAGCAACAAATCATGGAGCTGCTAGGTTACACTAAAGGTGATCTACCCTTTAGATATCTAGGAGTACCTCTGAGCATAAAGAGACTAACAACCATACAATGTGAGCCACTGATTGACAAGATGTTAGGCAGAATTCAGAACAGGACTACTAAGTTCCTATATTATGTTGGAAGAGCAATGCTAGTAAAAAGCGTCATATTTGCTATTCAAACCTTTTGTTCTGAGGTATTCATCTTTCCAAAGAAAATCATATAGTTCATAGAGGCTATATGTAGAAAATTCTTGTGGACATGGGTTGCTGAACCTACCAAAAAAGCACTAATTACTTGGGAAAAGCTCTGTTCTCCTAAGATAGCAGGGGGGCGTAACTTTATAAATGTAGAGATGCGAAACAAAGCAACAATCTGTAAGATTTTATGGAACATATGTACAAAAAAGGAGAAATTATGGGTGATACGGGTACATTGATATTAGATAAAAGACCAAGTTGTAGGGGACACAGAACCAAAGAGTGCTTTCCGGATCATGCAGAAGATATTCAAGGATAAACATTACTTTGAGGCAGCTGGCTATACTGAAGATGATGTTAATCAGATTGAGAGCTTCTCAATTAGGCAAATCTACAAAGCTATGCAAGGTGACATGGAGGAAACTAGTATGCAACAATCAGGGAATGCCTAAATAGATTTTCATTTTGAGACTAGCATTACATAACAGGCTATCTACAAAAGAAAGGTTAGCCAAATGTAGAATCATTCCAGATCAGATATGCTCCCTATGTGAGAAGAAGAATGAAACGGTGCAACATCTATTCTTTGAATGTGAAGTAACTGGAAGTATATGGAAAAAATTGTTGTACTGTCAAGGTATACAAAGACTGTATACTAAAGGAACCTTGGCAAGAAGAGCTACAATTGGTAAAGCAATTCGGTAAAGGCAAGAGTGGAGGGACTGCAGTATGCAAAATGACTCTAGCAGCGGTTGTCTATCATGTTTGGCAAGAAAGGAACTATGTCATTTTCCAGAAGAAGAAGAGGTCGGCCAAAGCCATATTACGACTGATCATTTAGGAAATTATGAGGGTTAGGTTGTTCCCTAGGCTAGTGAGAACAATGGAATAGTTGAATTGGTATCCGAAACTTATTTTGGTAGAACGAGAAGAATGAGGTAGAAAGATAGTAAGAATTAGGTAACTCCAAGCTGGGGCATCATATTCAGTTGAAGTTATGCTAAGTGAACAAACTGTTATGTGTTAATTTGTACATAATTATACTTGGTAAATAAATCTTTTACTTGCCAAAAAAAAAAAGTACTTGTACAAAATAAGCTGCAATGAATGGACCTTACATTATTGCGTGCTCACTTCTAGTATATGGTTTGTGTTAGCGTGTGCGAGATGTGAGTTATGATTTAGTCCACTATTTCGTTGTATTCCCTACTTAGGCACCTTGTATTAGTAGTAGCTATTACGTAACTTGATAGAATATAAGGGTCCACTAAATTCTATAGAGAACCAGGTTCTCTATCAGTTCCACTAGAACACACGCACACAACAATAAGTAAATGACAAGAGGAATTTTACGTGGAAAATTCTCAGCAATGGGATTAAAAATTACGAACTACCCTTGTAGGATTTAAACTTCACTACTGAGCAACTTTTAGATTACAACCTATGCAACATACGAATTAACCTCTTAATCCCTTACTAACTTGTAATACTTTATTACAAGCCACTTTGTAATAACTCTATTACAAAGAATTTACAACTCGACTAACTCTAGCCAAGACTCAAACACACACGGGTTTAAGATTTACAAAGGGGTTCCTACATAATGCTTCTAAACAAGCTAAGTAGGAAATACAATTGAAGAACTATTACAAAGTTACAACTCAAATAAGGACATACAATGACTCAATGTGGGAACTGGTCCGTAGTTATTTTGTTCTTTGTTCTTGAAGCACTTGAGAATTACTTGCTAGATGATCATGTGAGGGAGCTTGAGTAAAATCTCTAAGTGTTCGAGTGAATGTGTTTTACCTCCCTTAATGTTAATAAATACATGTGTGACCTCACATACAATGATGTAAGCAAGGTAGGTAAAAAGTCTTTCATAGAAAGTTGACTGCTGCACTGTTCCTGTACTGTAGCATGTGCAGGCAACAACTTTCCAGCTGGAGAGTTGACTTCGTACAGTCACCGCGGGAACTGATAGGGACCTGTTCCCTCAGCTGTTCCTTCTACTCTGAAGAGTTGAATCATATCCCAAGTTGGAACCTTGTGATTTTAAGGTCTTGAGAATGTGTGACAGGTTCCTTATCTGGTTCTTGATAGTAAGTTTGTTAGATCATCAAAACATAAAATAAAGTACTTATGACCAAGATACTTGTAACCTATCATAATTGCACGTGTAAATCTCTTGTTCTAATTAAGGTAAAAAAATTTACTAACCTTATGTTATCACATGTTAAGATTTATTGATATATATTAAAATAATTTTTACATTGTCAATGCCTATAACCTTTTTTTTAATTTTATTTAGAAAAATTCCCTCTAGCCTGCTGGAAAAGGGGTGAGAGAAGGGTGTTTAGGTGGCATTAGAATTAAGTTTTAAAGTTATATACAAAGTGTGAAAGAATTTTTCAGTTCTCACAACTTACTTGACATACTGGCTAAGATCAAGCGTAACCCATTCTGTTGTTAGACAAATAGAATGCGTGGTGTATGATACAATCAACTGTCACATTTTCTCATACTTCTTATATGCTTAATTGGGTCAATATTTTTTCATCATTGTATTGTTAACTAAAAGTTAGAACAAATTTTAGTTTTAAGCAATGTTGAAATTATTAAACAGTGAACTTCAATAAAAATTTATTCGCCTTTTGTTTATATGTAATAAAAATCCCAGATTTACCTTATTGGAAGTACACCAATATTGTAATGGAAGGAATAATTTTAGCAAAAAAAGAAAAAGAGTGAGACCGAGCAACAAACTAAAAGAAAATAATTTAGTTTGAACATCAATTTATCTACCTCCAACAAGTTACTGAAATATGATAGCTAATCATGTTAGTATTATCATTCTTATTATTATTTATTACGGAAAATGACGCATCCCTTACAACTTGCAAGTAGAGATTTCTATAATGTTACTTGATTACGAGTAAAATATTAGCAAATCCAACAGTAAAATATGAGACAATATGACGTGTCAACATATAAGACATATTGCCATCCATGTTGTTATTTTCTATTTATAAGCTTTCCCAATGATACTGCCTCTTCCCATGTCCCTATTTTCTAGGAAACTTTTTGTATTTTCGTTTTATCTGGCCTACTTTAAAAGGTGTGGGCTTAGTTGGCAGCAGGGCTGTTCATAAAAACCCGAAAATCAAATCAAACCAACCAAAAAAACCGATACTTTTAGGTTTGGTTTAGTTTTGGTTTTGAATTTTAAAAATCGATCAAATTTGATTTGATTTTGGTTTAGTTTAGAAAAAACAGAACCAAACCGACTATTGGAGTAGCTATTTCAAATTTATTATTACACCTATATATATGTATATTGTTATACAAAGTTTCAAAAAATTTATGGTAAATGTTAATAGTTTGTACTTTTAATATAGTTCTTTACCTTTACATTCTAGTTTGATTGGTAGTTTTCTTTTGTTTAGTGTAAGAATCCATTTCGTGTTAAAAATAACATATTTTTAATTGAGTCCTTAAATTATTCATCACTATTTGATTCAATTATCATCAATATATTTTGGTAAATAATAGATTTCTCAAAGGGCAATTGATTTGATAGTGTTACATTGAAAATGTGGTCGTCGGAATATATGTTTGGTAGTGTATGTCTTATATTTAAGAAAAAACCGATAAATAACCAAAAAAACCGAAAAACCGACATAAACCGAATCGAGAAAAACCGACTTAATTGGTTTGGTTTGGTTCTAATATTTGAAAAATCGACTTACTTGGTTTGGTTTCTTTTTAGGGAAAAACCGATCTAAACCGAACCATGAACACCCCTAGTTGGCAGGTTCGCACTAGTAATGGGTCTAATAATTCAGATATTTCTTACCATATCAAAACTACTTGATATTTCTACATGATTGGAATATGGGATTGTGTTTCCCCATAAAAGTCAAACTATGTATGTACTCATCAAGTGCTCATTTTAATAATACTTCCGATTTACCACAGTCAAAAAAATAAAAAAAATTGTGTAGCAAGTCTGCATTATTTTCAGCTGCAAGTGTGCATGAGTGACTCAAAAAAAGTTACGTAATAATTAATCTTTTACAGCCAGTTGAGGGCATTTGAGAAACTCGGGTCGATTAATTGGATGTCTATATATCGACAATGTAAATGTTTGACCAGAAAGTACTGAACCTTTCAGTTAACTAATTAATAATGAGAGATGAAGGGTGAATATTAGTTAAGAATAATAAAATCTAGACAAAATATTACGTGAAGTCGGTAAGATAAACAACGTTAATTAGTGTGTTCGTGCTGATTAAATGCTAATGAATGCAATAACATAAATGTGCAATAAATATAGATAATGACAATGAAAATAATAAAAAGGAATCTACCACCCAATTATTGTAAGACTTGGATGACTCTTTTCCCTGACAGCAGCGTGGAGAACAGAGAGATAAAGAGGGTTGAGGAATCTTTGGATCTTGTGAATAAAGAAGCAAAAACGTGTACTTGAATAAGATAATCAATGAACAAGACAACTGTTGTATATTCTCTCAGGTCAACCTTTTACAATGTGTTTTTCTCATAAAGTGAAGATCCCCTTTTTGTTCTCTATCTCTTCCTATTTATAAGGGATATTTCTCAGAAACCCTAAAAAGTACAAAATAAGGAATATCCAAAAGAATATTCCTTGTGTCCACATCTGAACCTATGCTACCGTTATTTCTTCTTCTCAGCTGCCCGTCTTTGGCATCAGCCCTTTCAGGAGCAGCCTTCTGCTATTACACCGCGGTGGACCTCGTCCTTGGTCTCGCTTATCCATGACTGCCAAGTTGCCAAATTTAGACCAATACAGTTAGTCCCTCTGCTTGTTAAGGTCGTGGTCTTGCACGCTCTCGATAAGCGGGCCTAATTCACCTCCGTTTTGGAAAATTTTGGTTGTGTTGAATAAGTCGGGTCGGTCGAGGTGGAGAGAACGGCGCAACCAGTGGAGTCGTGAGTGGTGTGGCTACCTGGGGGTGACATCATGGCCATGCGCGTCATCATTCGCATCTTCCCGAGACAGCGTCTATGTGCGTGCCGCTTTGGTTTTGGTTCCATAGAAAATCCTTTGTTACGGTTCTCGTGCCACCCAGCCCTATAAATAGATAGGGGTTTCATTTTTCAGAAGTTTTCACCATCCTTTACCTTACATGAGCACTATTCTTCTTTGATCTTCTTTGCCAGTTTCTGCTCTTGATTTCGCTTTTCCGATTCCATTCCTCTCCTCCTTACCTATTTGTTATCTTCTTCTTTGGGTTTGGTAGAACACATTTCATTGTCGAAACATGTCACAAACTCTTCGCATTCATGATGAAGTTTCCGATGCCACTCCGTTATCGGTGGCTCCTCTTCCCGGTGGTGAGGAATATATGGCTGAAGAGGATTAGAGCTTTCCAACCGCGGAGGAGATAGTTCCCAGAAACTCTTTGTC